TGCCACCCAGCCACCCGGCCACCCTCTACTCATCTTTTTACTCAAAACATCCCTTACCCTTGCTCTGGGCCAGGCCCTGCGAGGACTCCAGAGACACAAAGAGGGCAAGATTAGCACCTGTCCATCAGGGACCCACCTCTAAAGACTTGTGCTGGGCCGTGGAGTGTGGGTGGACTTCAACTAAGTGGAGGGATGCGGGGACCGGACCGGGAGACAGCTTGGGTAAAAGCTGAGAGGCTGATGGTCAACGCCCCATTACTGTTGACTTGAGTGGCCAGCTGGGCCAGGACAGCTGGGGTTTTGGGGCTGTGCTCATGGCAGGGGGACCTTGGCACAGACTCCTGCTGCCTGGCTCTCTGAGAGCTGAGCCCCGCACCACCTCATCCGGACTGGCTCCAAAGCAGCAGACAGGGCAACCTGACTGCTGGCACTCTCTAGGCTCTCCTCACCCACCAACAGAGCCCAAACCCCAGAGGCCCTCCGTGATCAAGCATTTGCCAACCTTTCCCACACCTGCACCTCCTTGCTTCACCCACACTGTTTCCCAAGTGGAACACATACTTCACCCCTGGACGTTTGCCCATACTGTCCTCTCTGGCGAGAATGTTGTCTGGTTGCCAATGCCAACCTCCAGTGACTGAGAGCTGGGAGGGCTGAGTTCCAATCCTGCTCCCCTAACCTTTGGCCCTCCTGTCCACCTTCCGCGTTCCTGCTTCTTGTCCAACAGCCTCGTCTGGGCCCTTGGTGCCTCAGTCGTACTTCCCTTGGAGATCTCTTGGCCTCCAAATCTTCCTCACTGTTCCACCTCCACCAAGTGTGCTCGTTATTGGGTTTTGTTTGTTTATTTTAATCACTTTACTTTTTATTTTTTTAGAGAGTGGTCTTTCTTAAGAGTAGTTTTGGCTTCTCCCCCCTCCTAAAATTGAAATCCTACAAGGGCTCCTGATCCCTTAGGATAAGGTCGGGCGCCTTGCTTTGACTTTTCCTGGGTGTCCCCACCTCCAATCCATTCATTCTCTAAAAGCTTCTTCCCTGAAGCTTGCCCCAGCCCCCCAGTCTATGCTCCGCTCTTCTGCAGTAGGGCACCAGGAGGCCTACCTGAGCCTGCCCCATCTTTCAAACTCAGCCCAGTGGTTCTTCCCCCAGAAACCTTTCCTGATCACCAATCCTAGGGCCCTTAGTGCCCTGTGTTTACACTTGTCATGAGTGTAAACACACTTGTTTTGCTCTCTGGCTCTGCCACAGGCTCCACTTCTTGAGAGCAGAGGCTGTTTCTTATTTGTTCTATGTTCCCAGAGCATCTTCAGTGTAGATTGATTTCAGTGTTATTTGATGGATGGATTGATAAGGCAGGCGGGCAGTGAAGGCGTTAATGAGTGGGTAGTAGGGCAGGCGAACAGGTGGGGTTTCGGTGGATGACTGGACTGCACAGGCTGGTGAGAGGGTGAGGTGGGGTTCCAGGGAAGAGTGGCTGGGTGGAGGAATAGATGAGTGAGTGAAAGGGTGGGGTGGTTGGATGGGCAAGTGAATGGCTAGGCAGATGGATGGATGGATGGGAAGGTGGTGAGTGGGTGCATGGAGAGGTATAGGGTGGTGGGAGGGGCAGGCAGATAGTGGATGGATGGAGGGCTGGAGGGCTGGGAGGATACACAATTAATTGCCAGAACTCTCCGTGGTACAGGCAGACAGGGGTGGTGACTTAGATGTGGAAAAGGAGACATGCCATGGAAGGCCACACTCAGAGAAACTGAGGCTGTGGCTGGAAATGGAGGCCTAGGGTGATGTGACTGTGTGGGTGAGGAGGGAGGCAAGCAAGAAGAGCCATCCTGGGGTCTCTGGGGGCCCAAAAGCCCAGCCAGGCAGGTCAGTCGAAGCTTGCCTCTGCCCCCCTCCTACCCCCAGGCAGCAGGAAGTTCTGTTCCACTTCCTGCAGCTGGTGGCTGGTGTGGAGCATTATCAACAGAAATTTCGCTCCCAGGCATCCATCATCGATGAGATTGTGGACACTGCATTTGAGGTGAACCAGGCAGGACCGGAAGGGAGGGGCCATGGCAGGGGCGATGCTGGAGGGCTAGCCAAGGGGGCCCGTGCCCAGAAGTGGCCCTTAGCGATGGTCACATGGGCATTCAGTAGGCAGAGGCCAGAGGCTCAGCCGCCCTCCCATCCCGCCCCTCAGGCTGGAGAAGAGGACTTCAGGAGGTGACACATGGACAGGGATGCAGGATACAGACTTCAGCCTCTGGCAAGCTACTCACCGTGGTGGGTCGGGACAAGTCTCCAGATCTGCTGGGATGATTGTCGGGCCTCCAGGGCTGGGACCCAACAGAGTTTTAAAACCCCAAATGGCCCTGTGTCCTCACTGGCTGGGCTTAGGCATGGGGCAGGGGAACCTGTGTGAGTGCACGTGTGTATGCGCGAGTGTTACATGTGAAAGTCACTGTTCTTGGTCCCCTCCAACTGCAACAGGGCCCGATCCCCTATCTTGGCCTGGCAGTGAAATAGCAGCAGCCAGAGGGGTGGCCTGGAAAGCGGGCCCGGCTCAGTGCTGGAGGGAGAGTGGACAGTCACCCTGCTTTGGGGAGGAAGGCCTTTCTGGCACAAACGTCAGGAAAGAAAGAACAAGCTGGAATAGCCCTCTCTTGTCAGGGTGTGGAGGACCAGTGGGTTCCAGAAACGGGGCTCAGTGCCCAGGAACTTGGGCCTACCAGCATCCAGTATAAGAATATCATGAACCCAGAGGTCAGAGTTCATTGCCATATCCTGCCTTGCCTGGGGTCAGACTAAAGAGACTCAGGGATGGGAGGCAGAGTGGAGGCTGCTCCAGTCCTTCTGGCCTCGGGTTGGGGACCGGGGGCAGGGATGGGGGGTGGCAG